AAATTGTAGCTTTCCAAGAATTTGTCCATTTCTTCGTGGTTGTCCATTTTATTGACATACAGTTGTTTCTGGTAGCCTCTTATATTCCTTTGTATTTCTGAGTTGTCTATGTGATTTCTCCTTTTTCATTTCTAATTTTATCGATTTGCGTCCTCTCCCTTTTTTTCTTGATGAGTCTGGATAAGGGTTTATCAATTTTGTTTATCTTCTCAAAGAAGCAGCTTTTAGTTTTATTGATCTTTGCTATTGTTTTCTTTGTTTCTATTTCATTTATTTCTGCTCTGATTTTTATGATTTATTTCCCTCTACTGACTTTGGGTTTTCTTTGTTCTTCTTTCTCTAGTTGTTTTAAGTGTAGGGTTAGATTGTTCATTTGAGATTTTTCTTGTTTCTTGAGGTGTGATTGAATTGCTATAAACTTCCCTCTTGGAACTGCTTTTGCTGCCTCCCATTGGTTTTTGGGTCGTCGTGTTTCCATTTTCATTTGTTTGTATTTTTTTATTTCTTTGTTGATTTCTTCACTGATCTCTTGGTTATTTAGTAGCGCGCTCTTTAGCCTCCATATATTTGTGTTTTTTACAGTTTTTTTTCCTGTAATTCATTTGCAATATCATAGCGTTGTGGTCAGAAAAGATGCTTGATATGATTTCAGTTTTCTTAAATTTACTGAGGCTTGATTTGTGACCCAATGTGTGATCTCTCTTGGAGAATGTTCCATGTGCACTTGAGAAGAAAGTGTATTCTGCCACTTTTGGGTGGAATGTTCTATAAATATCAATTAAATCTATCTGGTCTTTTGTGTCACTTAAAGCTTGTGTTTCCTTATTTATTTTTTTTGGATGATCTGTCCATTGGTTTAAGTGGTGTGTTATGGTTTAAGTGGTGTGTTAAAGTCTCCTTCTATTATTGTGTTACTGTCAAGTTTTCCTTTCATGGTTCTTAGCATTTGCCTTATGTAGTGAGGTGCTCCTATTGTGGGTGCGTAAACATTTATAATTGTTATATCTTCTTGGATTGATCCTTTGATCATTATGTAGTGTCCTTCTTTGTCTCTTGTAATAGTCTTTATTTTAAAGTCTATTTTATTGGATACGAGTATTGCTACTCCAGCTTTCTTCTGATTTCCATTTGTATGGAATATCTTTTTCTATCCCTTCACCTCAGTCCATAGGTGTCCCTAGGTCTGAAGTGGGTCTCTTGTAGATAGCATATATATGGGTTTTGTTTTTGTATCCATTCAGCCAGTCTGTGTCTTTTGGTTGGGGCATTTAATCCATTTACATTCAAGGTTATTATCCATGTGTATCTTCCTGTTACCATTTTCTTAATTGTTTTGGGTTTGTTTTTGTGGGTCTTTTTCTTCTCTTGTGTTTCCCGCCCCATGTAGAGAAGTTTCTTTAGCATTTGTTGTAACGCTGGTTTAGTGATGCTGAATTCTCTTAGCTTTTGCTTGTCTGAAAAGCTTTTGATTTCTCCCTCAAATCTGAATGAGATCCTTAATGTGTAGAGTAATCTTGGTTTCGGGTTTTTGTCTTTCATCACGTTAAGTATATCCTGCTGCTCCCTTTCTGGCCTGCAGAGTTTCTGCTGAAAAATCAGCTGATAACTTTATGGGGATTCCTTTATATGTTATTTTCTGTTTTTCCCTTGCTGCTTTTAATATATTTTCTTTGAATTTTATTTTTGTTAGTTTGAGTAATGTGTGTCTTGTTGTGTTTTTCCTAGGGTTAATGCTGTATGGGACTCTCTGGGCTTCCTGGACTTGGGCGACTATTTCCTTTCCCATGTTAGGGAAGTTTTTGACTATAATCTCTTCAGATGTTTTCTCAGACCCTTTCCTTTGCTCTTCTTCTTCTGGGAACTCTATAATTAGAATGTTGGTGCGTTTAGTGTTGTCCCAGAGGTCCCTGAGACTGTCTTCAATTCTTTTCATTTTTTTTTCTTTATTCTGTTCCTTGGCAGTTATTTCTACCATTTTGTCTTCCAGCTCACTTATTCGTTCTTCTGCCTCAGTTATTCTTTTATTGATTCCTTCTAATATGTTTTTCATTTCAGTTATTATGTTGTTCATCTGTGTTTGTTTGTTCTTTAGATCTTCTAGATCTCTGTTAAACATTTTTTGTATTTTCTCAATCCATACCTCCATTCTACTTCCAGATTCTGGATCATCTTTACTATCATTACTCTGAATTCTTTTACAGGTAGATTGCCTATTTCCTCTTCATTTATTTGGTGTTGTAGGTTTTTACCTTGCTCCTTCATCTGTGACATATCTTTTTGCCACCTCTCTTTTTTTTTAATAAGTGGGATTGTGTTCCTGTCTAACTGGTTGTTTGGCCTGAGGCTTCCAACACTGGAGTTTATAGGCTGTTGGGTAGAGCTGGGTGTTGGTGCTGAGATGAGGACCTCTGTGAGACCTCACTCCAATGAATATTCTGAGGTTCTCTGTTAGTCCAGTGGTTCCGACACGGAGCTCCCACCGCAGGAGCTTCAGTCTGACCTCCCGCTCATGAACCAAGATCCCACAAGCCGCACGTGGTGGCAAAAAAAAAAAAAAAAAAAAATGAGAGAACAATAACAAAGTAAAAAATAGACTAGGAAACTAACAGATATGTTAGAAAGAATATAAAAATATAGTTGAATCAACAACCAGAAGGTACAACAGTACCACAATAGTGAAAAAGAGAAGGAGGGAAAAGAGGGGAAAAGAAAAGAAAAGAAAAAAAACAACAGGGAAAAGGCCTTGGCTGTGGAGGGTGGGTCCTAAGCAAGGGTGAGGTTTAGGTGGTGGGTGGGGCCAATGCTCAGGACCCACAGGGCTGGAAAAGACCCTGGGGGCTATGGGAGGGTGGGGCTAGGCTCCAGGAACAGAAGGGGCCCAGATGTGCCCCGCACCCCTGGTCTCAGAGGGTGGGGGACCTCACCTGGGAGCCCAGCAGGTTGCCTGGCCTCAAGTGGGCAGGGCAAACGCCCTCCTCTCCTCTCCTGCTCCTCCGGTCCCGGAGGACCTCTCCCACCTGCCTCTCCTGATCTCCCCGGGTCTCCCTCCTATGCCCTCAGTACCCACGCCACCTGGAGGGGGCTTTGGAGGACAGGGAACCAGCCTGGGAGGAATGATTCTTTAATTTACAGATTTAACACTGGGAATTTTTCATCTGGTTTCTTTTGGAGTATTGCTTCCTTCCCATTCTTTCTGTTCTGTTTTCTAAAACACTTGTTAGAGGTATGTTGGAACTTCTCAGTCTATTTCTTGTCTTTTAATCACTTCTTAATTTCCACCTTTTTATCTCTCAGTGATGTGCTTAGGATGTTTCCTCAGATCTCTCTCTCTTAGTTTACGGATTCTCTCTTCTGCTGTGTCTTCTTTGCTGTAGGATTTTAATTTTGGTGACTACATTCTTAATGTCTAGAAGTTTTGTTTCTTTTTCAAGTCTATCTGTTCTTTGGATGTACTCTGTCCTGTTCTTTTATTGTGGTTTCTATACCTTCTTTCATCAATTTAATTATTTAGTAATATTTTATGCCCTTTCAGATTATTTTATTTCTTGTGTGCATATTCTCGATTGTCAAATCTATATACTGTCCTCAGGGTTGCTTGTTTCTTTGTCTGAGTTTTAATTTTTTATCATGAGCTTATTTTGTAGGGGGTGGTTCTGCTAGGTTGTATATGTTTTTCTTTGGAGTGTTTTTTTTTGTGTGTGTGCGCAGTACGCGGGCCTCTCACCACTGTGGCCTCTCCCGTTGTGGAGCACAGGCTCCAGACGCGCAGGCTCAGTGGCCATGGCTCACGGGCCCAGCTGCTCTGCGGCATGTGGGATCCTCCCGCACCGGGGCATGAACCCGTGTCCCCTGCATCGGCAGCGGACTCTCAACCACTGCACCACCAGGGAAGCCCTGGAGCGGTTTTATATTTACTTCTGGCTGTTACTGAAGTATAAAAACATGGGGACAAGTTTATATATATTTTTTTGGCTTGGAGTTGCTGTACTACATAGATAGTATAAATTCAGATCCCACATTTGCCTGTAGCAAGACAGTGGTTTCTATTTCTCAGAGTTGACTTTTATTTTTCTCCCGTCCACTATCCACAGAGATAGAAAACTTCTTTGCTGATTTTTTAGGGCAGAGTTTTTCTTATCTGCATTTTTTTTTATAATTTTATTTGTTTTTGGCTGCGTTGGGTCTTCGTTGCTGTGCGTGGGTTTCTCTCTAGTTGCGGAGAGCGGGGGCTACTCTTCGTTGTGGTGCGCGGGCTTCTCATTGCAGTGGCTTCTCTTGTTGCGGAGCACGGGCTCTAGGTGCGTGGGCTTCAGTAGTTGTGGCTCTCAGACTCTAGAGTGCAGGCTCAGTAGTTGTGGCGCACAGGCTTAGTTGCCCCACGGCATGTGGGATCTTCCCAGACCAGGGCTCGAACCCATGTCCCCTGTGTTGGCGGGCGGATTCTCAACCACTGCGCCACCAGGGAAGCCCTCTTATCTGCATTTTATGGACAGAACTGTCCTTCAGCACTCTGAGCCATAGGAAGGTAGCTCAGTTCCCCTCACTGCAATCTGCAGAAACCACGTCTCCTGTTCCTCCGTGGACTATGCCAGCATCATTGTCCATTTATTGTCCAGCTTTGAATTCCTTTTGCTTTTATGGCACCAGAAGATTTCTTTATTTACAGGTCTTGGTTGTGTATGAACCTGTTTTGGTTTTTTTTTTAAATTTAGCATTTCTCCTTTGTTTTATAACAGGGCATGGGCCTATCCACTGTAGCTCAATCTGAAGTTGATAGTAACTTTAATAGTTTTTTGTTTTTTTTAAACCATGAGGGAATTTAAATTTTAAATATTGTATTAAATTATTTTATTATGGGGTAAATAGAAAGCTATCAGAATAATATGTTGTAAACTTCTAATGTGTCTGTTGCCATGTAGAAGTGTTAGCTAAGTGCTATGTCTTTCCCATGTGATTTTTTTCTACTGTTGTCTTTTAATTGTAACATATACTATGGATAGTGCATTTCCTGACTCATACGAATAAAGAAGATCAAAGGGACAACGAACAGATTTCAGTAATGGAAACTCATCCTAGTCAGAAAACCTGTGTGTTTCCTTCTGCCGATTCAGCTGTCAGCCTTTCCAGTGACCAGAATTTGACTTCTCCTGGTATCGTTCTTAACTTTTTTCATTTACTCTTATTTTCCAATACTCGTACTGAAGAGTACTTACTAGCAATATAGTTGTGAAGGATTCGTGAAGCCGTTTTGCAATACTTATAAGTTTCGGGGAAGGGATCTTAAAAATTGTGCTATTCACATGAAGAGCTACGTCATCTTGTCACCTTCATAAGATACACTGCAAGCATGTGTCATATCTCTGTGTAACTTATTAATGTTAAATACATAGCAACTGAAGTATTATACCATTATACTGGTATATTATACTATAACACTATAATATTTGATTTTTATAAAAATTAAGAAATTGCAACTCTGTCAATTATGAGAGTTTTGATTTGAAAACAGTAATAATAGCTGTAATTTATTGAGCCTCTGCCATGTGCCAGACATTGTTGTTTTACATGCATTGACCCTGGTGTAAGCCTGACCTGTGACGTAGCTACCATTATTATCCCCATTTTACAGTTGAGGATATTGAGCCTTAGACAAGTTCAGTGCCACCGTTCATTCCATTTCATTTGGAGCTGGCAATTCAAAATGCTATTCCTTGGTCCTGACAAATACTTTGTGTCATATAAATAGCAGGGCATACTAGGGACTTCCCTGGTGGCGCAGTGGGTAAATAGCAGGGCATACTAAATATCACAGTTGGACCACTAACAGTGGCTTTAAATATTTTTTTTGCCCTCAGATATTTATGGTCAATAATGATGATTCTACTGAATGTTTACAGTATGTTTTATTACCATTATTAACTTAATATAATCAGTTAAGAAATGCTATTTTTAAATGACATTGCTGTTATTTAAACAAAAGCTATTAAGAAGCTGGTTTAAACTTTGTAATTTTTTTCTCTAAGTTCTTTCTAGATTCTGTTTGTATTTCAGTCATCATGACATGGGTATAATCATTTTTACTTCATAGAGTTGTTGAGAAGATTAGGTACTATATAGAGAGCAATTAGCTGAGAATCTGTTTGATTCCTATAGGTTCTTGGTTACCAGTATCTTTCCTCTTCCCTCTTATGGGTGGGGAGAGAATTGAGAAATGAGGTTAAAGAGGCTTTAGTGGGTTCTAGCTGTATCTGAGAAGTCTAAACTCCATTTTGTACTTGGGAATCATTGGTAAATTCTGAGCGGTGGAGGTTAGGAGGAGGACCAGGGTGGAGGCCTTGGTCGGTTAGTGAGCTGTTAGATTAACCTGACCTGTGCAGTGATGAGGGCCTGGGCACTGCTGTGGGAAAGGAGAAGCAACAAGAGACATTCTGAATAGGCAGCGGATGATACTCACCGACTAAGTGGTTGGAAAGGAAGGAGAACGTGAATGGCTGGTTAGCATTGTCAGACTAAGAGCCAGGATATCACCAGGTCTTAACGTCAAACTCTAGAGCACCTTCGGACCACATGTAGCATTTAAGGTGATGCAGGGCCATGTCATATTTAGGATTTAGTTTTTGATAAGGAAGTAGAGCTTGCTGAGGGCTTTAGGCTTAAAAAACAGATGTAAGAGCCTTTTTACCTAATTATATAGTTAAGACTTAGAGAGTGCATCAGTTTTCTGCAGGAAAGATGGAAAAAGGAGAAAAGCTGAGGACCAACCTGTGAAATGCCACCCATTAGAGAGCAAGGGGAGCCCCCACCTCCAGTGAGGGAAATGGATGAGCAGACTCTGGTAAAGGGATTTTCAAGAAAAAGTGAGTGGCTAACAGTTTCACAAGCCGCCAGAAAGTCAAGAATGAAGACTGAGTTTTTTTTAAGGACTTGAGGACTTTCAGTGTAATATCAAGCGTAGAAGAAGGCAGGTTGGGGACAAAGACAGGCTCAAGAAGCTGTAAGTATAGAAAACTTAAGAATTCTGACAGTAAAAGGAAATGAGAAAAATGAAGATAGAAATGAAATAAATGAAATGAAGTCAAAGATCATTTCGACTTGGGGATAAATATAAACTCTTATGTTTAAAGGCAGAAGAAAAGGAAGTACTAGGAAAAGAGAAATTGAGAGTACCAGGTTAAGGCGATGATTCATTCAGGATTGTAATAGCTTCTTAAACTCTAAGGCAAGAGGAAAAAACAAGAAGTGTCAATAAATGTCATAACACATGTCAAGGTGGATAAATAAAAATGTTTTTTCTCTAGTATTCAATGTTTAATTATAAATTAAAAAAGAAACCTAATTAGTATTTTTTTAGAAGTGCAGAATTTAGATGCCCTAATGGGTGTTTTCTTCTCCAAGGTTGGCTTCTTGGAAAGATGTACAGTCATTCCTTTACTTCTAGTGCTCACAAATAGCTCAGATTTACTCTTTTGAAATTGACTTTCACTTCTTAGCAAATTCTTCTGAGTGTTCTTGTCAGTGCCAAGTAATTTAGTCACTGAGAATGGATTTAATTTTTGTTAACAGCCATAAGTTATTCAGAGGTGTTTCTGATGAATTAGGTGATCAGGCTGAGTGCCACTGTTTGGAATTTTTTAAAAAAAGGAATTGTGACTATCAAGGAATGAAGCTGATCCATTGTGTTTAGTAAATTGTGAAGCCTGTCCCAAAGAAAAAGTTCCAAAAATGGTTTGAAAATGAAGTAAGGATAGAATCTTCCTATGTAACTACTTTTAAAAGTAGTTATTTGAATATAACACTTCTCTGCCTTTTGATGAAAGGAATCTGTTTCATTTCTTAGTCAGATCTTTTATATCTCATTAGCCTATATGTACACCATTATCGAAGAGCTCACAAATGACCAGACTCTGAGAGCAAAGATAATGTAAAATTCTTGATTTGAGGATTAATAAACAAAACAATGTGTGCTTAAGAAAGCAAAATTGTTTTAATATTAAAAACATGTGAGCATGGATGATATAATAAAGGATATGATGAACATGGGCCATAAACCAAAAAAAAAAAAAAAAAGGTGGATGTTCTAAGTCTTAGAGGCAGGGTGGATTTATCTTAGGATAAGAAAACCTTAACAAGGAAGTGTTTTTGACAAGAGATGTCAGGACACTTTTCCCTGTATTAATTCAATTCTCTTTGAGGGTTAAACATACAGAAAATTGAGTAGACCAAGTGTTTTGCTTTAAAGACGTGTTGTTAATATTGGACAAGGTTTAAAAATTATTCTTTGGGGCATATTCTTCCAAGTAAAGGCTCTTGGAGTTAAATTATATATTTTCCCAAAAGTATTCCTTTTAGATCATCAGAAGTTTTTGTTTTTTGTTTTTTTAGTAAATCTCACTCCAGTATTCTAAACTGTGTATGAAGCAAAGAAAGATTGTACCTCCTAAAATGTATTATTCAGAGTACTCTGGATAGAAAAGTAATAATCTTAAAATGTGGGCAATATTCACTACCAAATGGAGGTTTAAAAATATTTCAGTTTCTGTATATATAATTTCTAGATCAGGTTAATAATCGAAAATAGAAAAAATAACTGACCTGAAATTTTTATTAATAGTAATGTTTCTTTTTTTTAAGGTGTGAATAACAGTGATGAATTATTTGAGAGGTAAATATCTTAAGAATTAATTCACAGTTTTACTTAAAGTTAGGTATAAATTATGTGTTCTGGAAATTTTGTTGTTCATATGTATATAAACTTCTACACTACATATTTTTTGTGGATTAAAGGAATGTAATTCCCATTGGGAATGGGGTGTTTTAAGATAGCAGTCCCCAACCTTTTTGGCACCAGGGACCGGTTTCTTGGAGGACAGTTTTTCCACAGACGTCAGGGCTGGGGGATGAGTATTGTTCAGGTAGTAATGCGAGCAGTGGGAAGCGGCAGATGAAGCTTCTCGCTCACCCACCGTGCTCACCTCCTGCTGTGTGGCCCTGTTCCTAACAGGCCACGGACCGGTAGCGGGGTAGTGGTCCACGGCCCCGGGGTGGGGCCTCCTGTTTTAAGAAACTGAGGATTGTTATATTGTATCCCTTACTGTTCAGCATAGGTAGTTAGAATACAGTAGCTTACATTTGCTACATTTTCTTTTACTACGTATGTATTAAATTTCAATAGGCAGGACAGGTTGTTGTCCTAGTTGTCCCAGTTGTCCCCTAGGCCTTATGTTTGCTCCTTTGAGAGTGCATATGAAGTTATCAATTATTGATGATTAGGCTTTTCCACCGAGGATTACTGGAATTAAAGCAATAGAAGGAAATTAGTTATATGTTTATCATTTTTTGTGTTCATTTATACTCTTGGAGAGCATAGTTTTACATGTTCATTTTTGCTTAATGTAATTAAGTTGTAGATACTGATTTATCTCTCTCACACTGCATTTGGGAATGAAGTGTTTCAGTAGATCCACTCCAGATGAGTGAACTGACTGATATTGCAGACATTATCAATGACCTTATAACAAAAGATGGAGTTTCCAGTGAAGAGCTTGGCTTAACAGAACAACAGGCAAGGAGCATCTCCAGGTAATCACTGAATAATTTATTTTTAACCTGCTTAAAATGTTTATGGTTCAAGAATATTTAAAATTGACCATATTTTATGTAATTTTATTTTTACCTCTTTATTGGCGTATAATTGCTTTACAATGTTGTGTTAGTTTCTGCTTTATAACAAAGTGGATCACCTATATGTATACATATATCCCCATATCCCCTCCCTCTTGAGCTTCCCTCCCACCCTCCCTATCCCACCCCTCTAGGTGGTCACAAAGCATTGAGCTAATCTCCCTGTGCTATGCAGCAGCTTCCCACTAGCTATCTGTTTTATATGTCAGTGCTACTCTCTCACTTCATCCCAGCTTCTCCTTCCCCGACTGTGTCCTCAAGTCCATTCTCTACGTCTGCATCTTTATTCCTGCCCTGCCACTTGGTTCATCAGTACCACCTTCTTAGATTCCATATATATGCGTTAACATACGGTATTCGTTTTTCTTTTTCTGACTTACTTCACTCTGTATGACAGACTCTAGGTCCATCCACCTCACTACAGATAACTCAGTTTTGTTCCTTTTTATGGCTGAGTAATATTCCATTGTATATATGTGCCACATCTTCTTTATCCATTTATCTGTCGCTGGACACTTAGGTTGCTTCCATGTCCTGGCTATTGTAAATAGAGCTGCAGTGAACGTTGTGGTCCATGACTCTTTTTGAATTATGGTTCTCTCAGGGTATATGCCCAGTAGTGGGACTGCTGGGTCATAGGGTAGTTCTATTTTTAGTTTTTTAAGGAACCTCCATACTGTTCTCCATGGTGGCTGTATGAATTTACATTTCCACTAACAGTGCAGGATGGTTCCCTTTTCTCCACACCTTCTTCAGCATTTATTGTTTTAGATTTTTTGATGATAGCTATTCTGACCGGTGTGAGGTGATACCTCACTGTGGTTTTGATTTGCATTTCTCTAATGATTAGTGATGTTGAGAGCATCTTTTCATGTATTTGTTTGCCATCTGTACATTTTCTTTAGAGAAATGTCTATTTAGGTTCTCCACCCATCTTTGGATTGGGTTGTTTTTTTTAATATTGAGCTACATGAGCTGCTGTATATTTTGGAGATTAATCCTTTGTCAGTTGATTAGTTTGCAAATATTTTCTCCCATTCTGAGGGTTGTCTTTTCATCTTCTTTATGGTTTCCTTTGCTGTGCAAAAGCTTTTAAGCTTCATTAGGTCCCATTTGTTTATTTTTGTTTTTATTTTCATTACTCTAGGAGGTGGGTCAATAAGGATCTTGCTGTGATTTATGTCCTAGAGTGTTCTGCCTATGTTTTCCTCTAAGAGTTTGGTAGTGTCTGGCCTTACATTTAGGTCTTTAATCCATTTTGAGTTTATTTTTGTGTATGGTTTTAGGGAGTGTTCTAATTTCATTCTTTTACATGTAGCTGTCCAGTTTTCCCTGCACCACTTATTGAAAAGGCTGTCTTTTCTCCAAGTATATTCTTGCCTCCTTTGTCAAATATAAGGTGACCATATGTGCGTGGGTTTATCTCTGGGCTTTCTATCCTGTTCCATTGATCTGTATTTCCTGTTCCATTGATACTGGCACTGGTATTGTGCCAGTACCATATTGTCTTGATTACCGTAGCTTTGTAGTATAGTCTGAAGTCGGGAGCCTGATTCCTCCAGCTCCATTTTTCTTTCTCAAGATTGCTTTGGCTTTCGGGGTCTTTTGTGTTTCTATACAAATTGTAAAATTTCTCGTTCTAGCTCTGTGAAAAATGGCATTGGTAATTTGATAGGGATTGCATTGAACCTACAGATTGCTTTGGGTAGTATAGTCATTTTCACAACATTGATTCTTCCAATCCAGGACCATGGTATATCTCTCCATCTGTTAATGTCATCTTTGATTTCTTTCATCAGTGTCTTATAGTTTTCTGAGTACAGGTCTTTTGTCTCCTTAGGTAGGTTTATTCCTAGGTATTTTATTCTTTTTGTTGCGATGGTAAATGGGATTGTTTCCTTAATTTCTCTTTCTGATCTTTCATTGTTAGTGTATAGGAATGCCAGAGATTTCTGTGCATTAATGTTGTATCCTGCAACCTTACCAAATTCATTGATTAGTTCCAGTAGTTTTCTGGTGCCGTCTTTAGGATTTTCTATGTATAGTATCATGTCATCTGCAAACAGTGACAGTTTTACTTCTTCTTTTCCAATTGTATTCCTTTTATTTCTTTTTCTTCTCTGATTGCTGTGGCTAGGACTTCCAATAGTATGTTGAATAAGAGTGGCGAGAGTGGACATCCTTGTCTTGTTCCTGATCTTAGAGGAAATGCTTTCAGTTTTTCACCATTGAGAATGATGTGGGTTTATCGTATATGGCCTGTATTATGTTGAGTTAGGTTCCCCCAGTGCCCACTTTCTGGAAAGTTTTTATCATAAGTGGGTGTTGAATTTTGTCAAAAGCTTTTCCTGCGTCTACTGAGATGATCATATGGTTTTTATTCTTTAATTTGTTAATATGGTGTATCACATTGATTTTTTTGCATATATTGCAGAGTCCTTGCATCCCTGGGATAAATCCCACTTCATCATGGTGTATGATCTTTTTAATCTGTTGCTGGATTCTGTTTGCAGTATTTTGTTGAGGATTTTTTGCGTCTATGTTCATCAATGATATTGGTCTCTAATTTTCTTTTTTTGTGATATCTTTGTCTGGTTTTGATATCAGGGTGATGGTGGCCCTGTAGAACAAGTTTGGGAGTGTTCCTTCCTCTGCAGTTTTTTGGAAGAGTTTGAGAAGGATAGGTGTTAAAACTCTTTTCTAAATGTTTGATAGAATTTGCCTGTGAAGCCATCTCTTCCTGGACTTTTGTTTGTTGGAAGATTTTTAATTACAGTTTCAATTTCATTACCTGTGATTGGTCTGTTTATATTTTCTAATTCTTACTGGTTCAGTCTTGGAAAGTTATACCTTTCCAAGAATTTGTCCATTTCTTCCAGGTTGTCCATTCTGTTGGCATACAGTTGCTTGTAGTAGTCCCTTATGATGCTTTGCATTCCTGCAGTGTCAGTTGTAATCTCTCCTTTTTCATTTCTAGTTTTATTGATTTGAGTTCTCTCCCTTTTTTTCTTGATGAGTCTGGCTAAAGGTTTATAAATTTTGTTTATCTTCTCTAAGAACCAACTTTTAGTTTTATTGATCTTTGCTATTGTTTTCTTTGTTTCTATTTCATTTATTTCTGCTCTGATATTTATGATTTCTTTCCTTCTACTAACTTTGGGTTTTCTTTGTTCTTCTTTTTCTAGTTGCTTTAGGTATAAGGTTAGATTGTTTATTTGAAGTTTTTCTTGTTTTTTGAGGTGAGCTTGAATTGCTATAAACCTCCCTCTTAGAACTGCTTTTGCTGTAGCCATAGGTTTTGGATCATTGTGTTTTCGTTGTCCTTTGTTTCTAGGTGTTTTTTAATTTTTTTGATTTCTTCAGTGATCTCTTGGTTATTTAGCAGTGCACTGTTTAGCCTCCATGTGTTTTTGTTTTTTACAGTTTGTTTTTCCTGTATTTGATTTCTAATTGATTTCTAATTTTCTGATTTTTTAAGAAACGAATTCAAAGCTTAAAGTAGATTTTTTTCTTTGTAAATATATTTTGTGGTGTGTATGTCATTCCTCCCCCTCCTCCAATATATAGACTGGTTTATGTAACTAATACAGCACATCTGTATCCTTTGAGTTTTCCCAAGGTCTCATCACCCTGAGTACAACATAGATTTAATCCTATTTCTTCTTAGAAGCATTAATGATTTATTTCATAGTACTTTACTCTAAATATGAACCCTTAGAATACATTTTAAATAGCTTTTCCTTGGGACATTAGGTTAAAATGTTTTTCCTTGTAGCCTTTCCTGGGCCCAGAACTCGTTCCTGATAGAATAAAGGCTGCCTCTTCTACTTATGCTTCTTTGGGATACATATGCCTTTTCGCTTATTGATTCATTGGGGGCTGGTTGGGTAGGGTACCCTCTGCCTGGCATGTACGAAGAGTCCAGTCTCTCAGAAGGAAAGCAGGTGTTCAGTATCAGCCACATCGTCTGTATGCATGACCCATCTTCCAGTTAGGATGGTGTCTTCTTCGCATACTTGGTGATGAGTCTGCCCCAAATCTCTGTCTACAACACCTGTTTTTTTGGGCCACTCTTAATACTCTTTGTGTAGAAGCCAAGATGGAATTAGATGTACAAAAGATTTACTGAGAGAAATGCCTGTGAAGGGAATAATCAGAAGTGTGGCGAGGCATCAGATCCCAATGCAGTTCTGACCCCTGCCAGTGAAGGAGAGAGGGTTGGGTAAGCAATCCCAGAGTATAGTGTAGCTCTAAGTGTGTTTCAGCTGGGTCAGTGGTGAGACAGCATGCCAAAATCGCCCATCAGAGGAGTCCAGTCTCTAGATCGGGGCCAGCCACAACATCCCTGCCACACTCGGTTGTTAGCTCGGGTTGGCCCTTGGGAGGTGCGGCCTGGACACAAACGTGAGGCCAGATCCAGAGAAGCATCAGTTTAGAAGTCATCTCTGTAGTACAAGTTTTGGAAGTGATTGAGATAGTCCAGAAATAGGTTATAAGTGAAGAAATCCAAACCAGAACCTTTAAAGACATTAATATCTCATGGTGAGCAGAGAAGAAAGGCACCAGTTTAAGAGGCTGCATCGTGTTTTGAGAGTTAGAGAAAGACCCAGGTAAGAGAGAGTTTAAAGCAGGAAGGAGAAGCCAGTTGTACCAAATTTATAGAGAAGTGCAGTAAGATGAAGACTGAAGAGGCTGTCAGTGACCTGAGATCATTGTCAGTGGATTTCATGGGACAGGTTGTAGCAAATTGATTAGACATCATGAGTGTATGACTCTTCAAGATGGGGCAGAATCTGTCCAAAGAAACAGTATTTAGTTGTGATACTTTTTATCTCCATAACAAATTTAACATCAGGTGATGCCCTGCTTGTTAAATTTCTTAGGATTCAGCATTCCTCTGGTAGACGTCCACAAAGAACTGAGAAGGAGAGAAAAGAGATTCAAGTCTGGATGAAAAGAAAACGAAAAGAAAGAATGGCAGAGTACTTAAATCAGCTAGCAGAAAAGAGAGGGCAAGAATATCATCCTTTCTGCCCCAGGAGCAACCCAGTAAGTCTGCAGTATCAAGGGTAATGGAATTACCACAGAATATGTGTAATTGTTTTCCTGGCAAGTATTCAAGAAAAGGATTAACATAATTTGGATGCATTTTTTTGTTTGATAGAAAAGTCAGCATTTTACTTAAGTCTGGAAAAGTTAAGAAATTACCTTAACAAAATGTAGCAGGGAATTCTACAAACCATGTTCTATTGAACTATCTTAGATTATTTTTTCTCCCTGAGGCTAATTATGGCTCTAGCATTTTATTTTATTTTTTATTAATTAATTAATTAATTAATTTGGCTGCGCCAGGTCTTAGTTGTGGCGTGCGGGCACTTAGTTGCTGCGTGTGGGATAGTGTTCTCTGAGCAGGGATTGAACCCAGGCTCCCTGCGTTGGGAGCACAGAGTCTTAACCACTGGACAGCCAGGGAAGTCCCGTGGCTCTAGCATTTTAACCAAATGAAGAGGTCGAGGGGTTGGGTGACCAGTTGGAGTCACTCCCTTAATTTTCAATGAAAGTCAGTGGCAGTTGAACAACTGTGTGTGTAGTAAAGCTGTTTTAAAAATCAATTTTCTCTCCATAAGTTATCTACAAAAAAATCTATTAAAGTGTGGTCCAGTTATGAACCAACAGAGCAGTGGCACTTCTGTGTGTGTGTTTCAACTGTCCTTTAAACTGTCAACATTTGTTTCCTGAGCCCTAACTATGGACATCACCATGGCCAGGTCAGAAGTGTTTTTCTTCAGAAGGTGAAACAAAGCAGTGTTCCTTTTATGATTACATAACTGTGAAACTCACATTTAGATTACACTTGGATTACAGTTTATCTTTTACTTTGTCAACTGAAATAAAATATAATAGCACTTCATCTTTTTTCAGCATCATGAGGGGAACATATTCTGTAAGTGAATTTTCCAGGTTGTCACATTTCAGCACCAAATGGTGCAAAAGTAGGTGAACTATTATTTAAAGAGTGTAATTTACTTACCTGTGTCTGGAGAGAGCATGCTGATGCTAGATGACATTTTGTTGATAGCTCTGGGGACATGGTAATGACCTGCAGGGCTACTCGAAGACCAGAATCTTACAGTGTGTGTGTATATATGTGCTCTTCTACCCCACGGAGGATGAGTTTGCATATCACCCTTCCTGTCAGCCAAGCAGATTCCCCAGATGGTTAGAATTGTATCCAAATTTAGAATAAATGAACTCTGAGGGCATTGGGACTGTTCTGTTCATAGACTTTGTGACATCTCCTTCAGTATCACAGATAATTGTTTATTTTTAGCTTCTGTTTGGGTAAAGGTATGGAACTAGTGAGGGGTTAATGTAATTAAAATTTTCGTTTTCATTTTTATCAGAAATCAATAAGACCTTAAATTTATTGTTGACTACTGTATAGGACCTTGAGAAAGTGAATCCACTTCTGCGCGTACATTTTTATATACACAATTGTATGTGAAAGGACTTACCCTCATTAGTAATTCAACAGTAACTCTTAATGTTCTGGAATAAGACATATATAGCTGATGTTGGCCAGTTTACCCCATGGTGCATACGTTTTGAAGAGTTTACAAGTCACAATGAACCCACTATAGTAGGTTGCTGGTAAACATTTTAAAACATTAAAGTGGTGGTTTTAAATGTCTGACTCATTTCTGCTTTTATCAGCCAAGCTCTTGGTGAGATTAATCATAAGAGTACAAAGTGTGGGTGTCTCCATCCTTAAAATGTTCCTATTTTCCATTTTAAATGCAGCTGATAAGGATCTCTCCTTTTGAGAAAATACATTAGTTTAACTACTAAAACAGACTTTGCATTCCATTTATTAAATTGGATTTTATTTTAATTACATGATGCTTTCATTTAACATTTTCATATTTTGTGCTGGGGTAGGAAGCTTCATCAAATATGACAGTGTTTTGTACTGTTTACTAAATAACAAAATTATGTTTTAACTTCCTGTTAAAATATATTAGTGGAATTTTCATGTTTTCCAAGGGTCATAATGGTTTAATTATTTGAACTGAACCGTAATGAACTAACTAGTTATTTCTTGTGCAGTTTTACATGACTTCAAGGGAAATCAGGCTGAGACAAAAGATGAAGCACGAAAAAGACAGGTGATTTTGGTGGTTGCACCCTGATCATTCTCTCTCTTGCTTGCTCACTCAAGGCCGTAGATACTGCCTTAGGGATTCTGGTTTGCATAGTAGTCCCATTTTTGTTGATAAACAGAAAATTATGGGAGCTAACTGCAAGGAAAATAATTAGACTCCAATAGCCATTTTTGGAATTTGCTTTCAAATATTATTTATTCCATTCAGTTTTTATACCTTATTTCTGCTATTCCCCTCCCTCTCCCAATCCAGATACGTATGTGCATTTTGAAAATACCCCAAAGGCCATAACTACAGGTGCCTTTAATAATACCTCCTAATGGTTTTCAGAAATCTGAAATTTGAATTTGTATTGAAATGCATGGAAGAAAATAAATGCTAGGTGGTCTTTGAACACTATGTTCCCTCTAGAAATATGAACTGAAAGTGACTCTTTTACTAAATGTTGTTTAATTCTTTCTCTAAAGATTGCTGCTCTCTGACCACTATAGTTGTCGAATCTCACAAGCATACAGTCTGATGAATGAACTGTTATCTGAATCAGTACAGCTTCCAGCAACTGCACAGAAACCATTGCCTAACAAACCCAGACCTGCTCAAATTCCCAGAAGGCAACGCTCCCTTTCTCCAAGAGGGTAAGACAAGGTTTGGCACGTCATTTGGCAAGATAATGTCAAGCGTGATAAGTGTGAAGCGCTGTTGTGACTCAAGTTCAGTGGACTTGTTCTGAATTATGATAATAAAGTGAAGGGGAAAATGGTGCCGTAATTATGAGGTCTTCATTAGTTTTAATCACCAAGGAAAAAGACAAAAATGGCATTAAATGTCTAATTAAGATATAACAAAGCACTTCTGTATGCCTAATACAATTTTTATATCCATTCAATCCTGTTTTCTTCTTTTCTGTAGTTTTTGTTAATAATTCCTTCTGTAATTTGCCTCCTAACTGCTCCCCTGTTTCTCTGCTTGGCTCCATTCTTGAAGAAACAGATAGTCATCACCAGCTTACCACTTCTTCCTCTTCTTCCCACCCAGTTATTGCTGATTCAATTGTAGATACTGTTATATGTTTCTTCTTAAATTAATGACCTGCATTAGGTTTGGATATTAGTTCATTAGGCAAGAATTAATTAAACATAGATACTAAAGAAAAGTACCCAAGTGTAAAGTTTCTTATATATGGCAAACAAACACAAAATTATATTTGTTAATGACCCATAAGGAGGAAATGAATTGATAGTATAGTGTTGTTAAAAATTACCACCTTTGGCAAAATAATTGATTAGGATTGTAAACATAATCACGTAACTTAAGAGCCTAGAGGAAATGCTACCCGACACAAAGCTAGACATAATCAGATTACTTGTGTGTGTGTAATTTGGGGTGTAATCAAAAGAGCAGAGACTCCCCTTGAATATTTCCTAGAATAATGCATGGTATTTAATATAAATAACTGCCAAATGTATAGAGCATTTGAAATGGATAGAGAGATAAAAACAATTTCTTTGGAAAAAAATGAGTGAAGTTTGAGATATGAGGAGAATTATACACTGAATGTATCACTGAGGTACAAAATGAATGTATTAGTCTGAGCTGGAATTTACATCTTTTGAAATATTGTAGTTTATCACTGATAGAAGATTCTAGGAATATAGTAACTGTGTAATTTCTACTTTAGAGAGAATCGACATGATCACAATTTTCCAATACATAGACCTGGAAAAGTCAGATATATGTCCATCAAACCAAGTTATACCCAAAAGGGGAGACTTTTGGGGCAAACTCAAGGCTCACCCTGGCCATGTGGTAAGACTGAAAACTTTTTTTTTATCTTGTGTAATTTGGACCTATTTTTTCTTGTCTCCAAAGTTGTGTTTTCATTAGTAAAAGTTGTAAATCTTAGTGAAAAGCAGTTCCCATTTCAACAGAATGCAAGGGATTGATAAAGAGCGGTACTGGGATTTTGTTCTATTGCTTTGAAATGAGAAGACCCTAGGAATCTTTTTAAACTAATGGCCTTTTTGTAATAGAATTTGAACAGTCAGTTCTGTGTGATATGACTTATTTGGGAATCTGTTTCTTTTGTGTGGCTAAAGATGTAGGCATTTTTACAAATCAAGTTCTGATAGATTTCAGGATGGATATATAATAGAGCAGGAATAGAACAGGAGCAGGTTGAAATAGTATCGTTTTTACCCTTTTTGAATATTCTTTTCCACATTTGAAGATAGAGTATTTGTTATTTATTACTAGCCTTCCTTTAGTTCATTTTGCCATATGTGGGTTTTGATTACTAAAGTAAAACATACTTATTTGTTTTAAAATGTATAATCATAGTTAACATGTAGTATACATATGTACAGCTAAGAATGTATAATAATAACTAATGTGCCAGGTTCCATTTAAGCACTTGAATTACAACTCTGTGAGAAAGGTACTATTATGTTCCCATTTTAAACAAGAGAAAGCCAAGGCAGAGAAAGTTGAAATAACTGCCTAAGATCAGATATCTAGGAAGTGGTAGAGACTAGATTTAAACCCAGTCTGGGTCTAGAGCCTCCACACCTAGAACCTGAGCTTCAGTATGCACGTTAACTGAGAAAATTGAAGTATCCGTATATTGCAGTCTTTTTGATGGAACTTTATAGTTTCGTTAACTCTTGCTTTTGATTGATGAATTACAATAAGAAAACACTGTTCTTTTTTAAACTAGAATTTCAAAATAGTAACCATTTAAAATTTTTTTTTAAGTTTTATTTTATACCTGATACATTTACCAAAATTAAATAAAAGAAATATCCAAAATTGGAAAAGATTTTAAACTTGAATCACGGTTTCTTAATGTCAGATGGAAAAGTCTTGGATTATGTGGAAATATGTCTTTTTCTTGGACCTGTCCAATGTCAGGCCTGTATTGTTACCTTGCACTTGGCTGGGCTGAGGCCTTGGCCCTCTTTGGTCCCCTTACCTGTCCTTGCTGAGCTATGCTTGATGAGATGCTCCTGCTGCCCAGAGACTCAGAAGTCCTCAGTGACCCGTACCCCACACAGATAAGTCCAAACCCTCTCCCTGGCCTTTAAGGTGTCCTCCCCTTCTGCCTCCTTAGCCTCCTTTCCGCATATAATCCGGATGATCCATAGCACTTGCAGGCTTGTTTTCCAGACACATGCTGTGTGCTCCCATTCCTGCCTTGAAAATTTCCCTTATACCTTAAATGCCTCCCCTCCGTGTCTTGGAAGACATCCCTAATTTTAATTCTTTAGCTCTTCCAGCCCAGTGTAATGAATTTTAACATCCATATTTTCATTTTTTAACTGGCTGATACTTAACTTGCATGGTAGTTGTGAATATTAGAGACAAATAGTAGCATTGGTAACTAATATAGTTATTTTTTTTGTCCTCTGAACCCTCAGTCATGTGTTTCTGCCCTTCTTGAGGCACTACTGCAACAGGTCTTATGTTGTAGTTACTTATAAACTTGGTTATGTCCCAGGATAGACTAAATGATTTGAGGGTAGCAACACTTTCTACATCTGTGTTACCCCTTCACATTGAACAAATGAAATAATTGAATAACTGGATAAATGGGAAAAAAAGGCTATTTAGCTTTTCTGCTTAAAAATAGCTATTTATAAACTAATTATTGTTCAAGAATATTAATGGGCAGGTATTGTAGTATTTATACTGTGTCATAGAACACCATATGCCTAACTATTACCTGAGCTGACCTGTCACTCAGCTTCCTGGACCTCCAAGGCAAAGGTAGGAGAGGCAGCTTGAGGGACTGTGAACACACTGACCTCCCTGACTGCCTCTGCCACATCCAGAACCCAGCCATTCCCCTGACAACATTCAGTGGCAGTGGGAGAAACCGGGCTCTTCCAGTCAGTGACACAGACAACATGAGCCCGCTGGGGCAAGTTTAGTTGTTGCACAGGTGGGAAGTGAGGATCCATCAAGATTTAAAAATTCCCTGCAGTTCTTCTGTAAAAGAAGTTTTCCTGAAAATTCTTTGAGTTTGACTATATGTTGCTGTCTTTTATTTATTTATTAAATTAAATTTATTTATTTATTTATTTTTGGCTGGTTGGGTCTTCATCGCTGTGCACGGGCTTTCTCTAGTTGCAGCGAACAGGGGCTACTCTTTGTTGTGGTGTGCCGGCTCCTCATTGCGGTGGCTTCTCTTGGTGCAGAGTGCAGGCTCTAGGCGCGCGGACTTCAGTAGTTGTGGCTCTCGGGCTCTAGAGCACAGGCTCAGTAGTTGTGGCGCACGGGCTTAGTTGCTCCGTGGCATGTGGGATCTTCCTGGACCAGGGCTCGAACCCATGTCCCCTGCATTGGCAGGCGGATTCTTAACCACTGTGCCACCAGGGAAGTCCCAACTATCTGTCTTCTATAAAGCAGTATACAGTTTTTGGCTAACTTCTTCAGCCCCGTGCGCAAACTGTTAAATTTAAGAGTTTTCTTTCTTTCTTTTTTTTTTTTTTGCTTGTTTTGTGTTTAATTCTGTCAAAAACAATATATAAGGACTATATGATAAGTATCTGAGAGGCATTATAAGCATAAATAATAGGTCTAGCCTTTGAAATCATCCAGGCCTAGGTTCATAGCCCAGCTCTGCCGCTCACTTTGTGCTCTCAGATGTTTCTTAAATCCTACCACATAGAGCTGTTGTGGATCATAACATAAAACATTTTGCATAACAAACAGTAAATAGTTGCTACTAATCCTGGAATTTAAGAAACCTTAGTTGATCATTCTCTTCGCATTTTGTCTAGGTATTTACTGGAAATAGGCTTATACACCTGGCTTTTCCAGTTGCCAGGGCACATTTGCCATATGAGAAAGGTCTGTGGTTGTGCTATAAGGATACCAAGTCTCAAAGTAGACTTTCCCTTCCTTCATCTGCACTTTTGTTTTGCTTTCTTGGTTCAAATCAACCACCATTTATTGGGCCCCTACTAAGCAGAAGATTTCTGTCCTCAAAGAACTTACAACATGAAAGGTGCATATGGAAGGCTAAAGAAGTTTGCCTGTCTTTATAGGAACTGCTACTTTTACCATACAGAGGAAAGCTGGTGGAGCCAAAGGGGCAGTAAGAAAGGCTGTGCAGTCTCCAGTTACCGTCCGAAAAGGTATGGGATAAAGGTTAGAAAGTTCTTGAGCTTAATACTAAAAATTTTTAAATCATAAATCACTCTTAGAAATGTCAGATACGGATTTCAGTATGAAGAGTGTGGCTAGGTGGTGGTAATGGGCTTAATAAGCACAGTGCTGAACATAAAAACAAGTACTCAGGAAGGTGCTGTGATCACATAGCCATGGAGCACACAGACCCATAAGTTTGGCCCAATTAGCTCTGCTCTGACGGAGAGAGAGGGAAATTATACATCATTATCTCAGTCCCCAACATCTCCCCGAGCCCACCCCTCAACTGCTGTTACTCTCCACAATTTAAAAAACAGTTTCACATTCATCCTCCTATTAGCTGTCTGTAACAACCCTGGTAGATAGGGCAACTCTTATCCCTATCTTACAGCTGAGGAAGCTGAGGTATAGAGAAGCCAAGTGGCCTGCTCAAATCCCCTTAGAACAATAGAAAGAACAGCTAGCAGTTATAGAGAACTTACTTGATGCCAGGCATTGTATTAACACCTTATGTGCATGATCTCATTTAATCCAGTGAGGTATCTGTGGAATTAAAGAACTAAATTTAATGGGAATAATGATGAAAACACTAATTCATATATACCATAAAAATGATGAGATGTGAATTAATCTGTTCCTGTTATGATGCCTCTCTCCACTGCTGTCTCCTTTCTTTGCAGATTCTTTCAGTGTACATCACATCTCTCTTCAGCTGTGTCTAATCTGCTATTTAACTCATTTATCAAGTTTTAATGTCGATGGCTATACCTCCTAGAAATTCTACTTGGTCCTTTCCATACTTTCCCCCACTGTATGCATTAAAACCCAAGCCTCCAGTTACTGGGATTAATTTGAGTCCTAGAAGCATCATCTCCTGTGCTTTTAATTTTATAATCCCAGGCTAGTTTTTTTCTTTCAAAGTTTCTCATTTTAATCTTTTGTTACGATGTTTTCTAATTTAGAATACCCCATAGCTTTTTATTCTTTTCTAAGCAAATATGGAGCAATGTTTATTTTAACAGATAAAATGCCCCAAAATACAATGTTACCCCTAAAAATAGCTGAAATTATATGTACCTTTGTATTGTATTATGAAGCCTCCAGAGACTCAGGGTTTTGTGTTCTTGAAGTGAGTTATGACCTAGCATGAGGCCTTGCCCATAGAAAGGCAAAGAGAAGTATTTCCTTCATTGTTCAGTGTCCAGCGCCTGAGAGTATGACTCCAGGTTTCTAGCTTGGGTATTTGTCTAGACTGTGGCCTAATAATTGGTCCAGGTTGGGCAAGAGGAGGAGCAGGGTTTTTTTCTAGGGGAGATGGAGCTAATGGACTCAGGGTTACTGTTCAGTTTCAGACTCCTCAGGCAAGACTATAGAGTTATTTGGCAATAAAGAAACAGAGGTGGCATTCACTCTCCTACAGAGAAAGATGCTACTTTAGGGGAAGCTGGTGCACTTGCCCACTAGTTTCCACTCTGGGGTTTCTTCTTGATATATCACTTACCTTTGACCTTAGAAAGCTTTCCCTGGCCATGTTGGGGTAGGAACACCCCACCTGGAGAAGCTTTGCACGTGCTCCGTTTCACAGAATTTTTTTCATATTGTATTTTTATCTCAAAATTGGATATCCCAAATAAGTCTAGAGAAATGCACCTTGATCTGAAGCAAAGGAATTTACAAAGCCATCCCTGTGTAAAGCAAGGTGAGAGAAAGCCAGTGATAGCCTCTCGAGGTTTGTAGATACCCCACAGGTAAAAGTTTACCCTAAAATGTAGGCTTATTAACCTTAGTATCAGCCGACTTGGTGATGATCTATCATTCTTTCTAGATGGCAGTAATTATGTTCATTTGACAAAACAAGAGTAGCAAAGATTAGATACCAAATTAATTACAGCGGAGATAGGGGTGGGATCAGTTAATGGTCACAATCTTTGCTAATCTCTTATCATACCTGGAAGACTTGAAGGAACAACTTCAGCACCTCGCCTCCATTGTTTCCATCTACTCTGGAGGGACAGCTTACCCTTGTAGTCACAATACTGCTTAACTACCTGTTGGTTTCTCTTCTTTTTATCCTCAGTCTCAACCTTTTCTGTTTTACCAGCTGTTTTTTTTTTTAAACACAGTGTGTTCACATGTGCATTCCAATTGTGCATTCATAGATATTTTTTCTTTCACAGTTTTTCAAAAATTGTTCCTTAGTAATATTTACTGAAATAATTATTTTAATATGAAACTTTCAGTCACACCCCAAAATACTCAGTGGTGTCTTTAAATAGCAGAAAAAAAAGTCAGCCCTTTTTCAACTAGAGCACAGTCCTCACATTGGATTCTAAAATGGTGACCACGGGTGCTACAGGATGATGTTAACCTTACTTCTGTTTCAGACCCTTGGGGCTAATCAAAAGAAGAATCCCTAAGCCCTCCTATACTGCCACCCTTCTCCCTGTAATCCAAGAAGCAAGCTATTGGAAAGCTGCTGCCTTGGGGATCCAGATAAATAGACCTGTTTCTCACTTACAGATGTGAAGATTATCCGAAAGAGCCCTCTAAGTACTATTCTTCCCTCTCCCAAAAGAACAGAAAGTTAACATATTAGCTCAGGTTCTGGGCATAGATCATCTCTCTCATCTTGGGCAAATTACATAACCCCCTAAGCCTCACCTTCCTCAAATGCAAAATGGGGATAGTAACTGTTTCCCCACAGGACTTTCATGAAGAGTATTTATTCTGCAGCAGTCTGTTGAGCTCCTGCTACTTACCAGGCACTGTTAGTCAGGAACAACGCAGATGGTAGCACAAAAATAAGATATGGGAGACCTTGAAGGTCTCTTTTAGGGGAGGTGTCATTGGAGTGAAGATGCTGAATGTTGAAAAGGGGGTTGTCATGTAACAATAAGGAAGAGCAGTTCCAGGCGGAGAGAAGAGCAAGTTCAAAGCCCTGCTACAGAGGCAACCTTGATAGATTGCCTGGATTGGATTTTACTCTGCATCCAGTGGGACTCCATTGGAGGGAATTAAGCAGGGAGATAATATAATTTACATTTTAGAACATGTGGGAGAAAAAGAACAGAAGGCAGCGGACAAGCACAGAGATATTCCTTGGACTAGGGTTATAATAATAAAAATGGGGGGAAGTCATTCGATTTGGAATATAGAGCATTTCCCGGAATAGGGCAGAAATTAACAGTTTGACTTTGGACATGTTAATATTGGGATGTTCATTGCACATCCAAGGCAAGGTGTCAAGAAGGCCGTTTGCCCTATGAAGCTAAAGATACAGGTTTGAGAGTTGTCAGCATGTAGGTATTTCCAGCCATGGAACTAGATGAGGTCAGCGAGGGAGGATGTAGATGTGTAAGAAGACCAATGACCAGGTCCTGGGGCTCTCTGGTAATTCAGTGGACTGAATGTAGGTAGCGTGCATAGCCCATAGTAAATGCCAAAATGTGTACTGCTGTTATTTGGGGGCGGGGGGGGTGCTTATTTCTTGGAGGTATCCTTAGCATGAGGTTGGTAGAGAGATGAAAGACCAGGTGGCCCAAACTTTAGCACTCTGTTACCTCTTCTTCCCCTCTTCAAGGAGCCACAGGCATGCTTGTTGGGAGCTGAGTTTACTTCCCATCGTATACCCCACATATACACCCATCTCAGGTGTTTCTTCAGGTCACCCAGTAGGGGTAGAATGTGCTGTAATACTGGCTTTGGAACATGAAGTGTGTTAGGTGGGGCCAGCTCCTCCAGGCCTCGTGCAGAGAAGCGCTGTCAATGGGCCGATGCGCTAAGCTGCCTGTGGGCGCGAGCTGGGATCAATGTTTCTTTTCAGCAAATACTGATATTCAGGAAGGAGGAAGGGGGCCATAATGTGTGGCTACTGCACTTACCTTGATGACTATGCCCAAAGGTGAATTGTAGCTGTGAAGCGTGAGTGGCGATGCCGAGAACATCACTCCTGTGAAGCTTCCACAAGACTTTCCATAAGAGAGGCAAGGAAGGCCCAGCTCTCTGAGTTCATCCAGCTTTTAACTTGGAACTTCTCCAGAGTTCCATTTTTTTTTTTCTGTGGCCTCTCCTCCCTGGACTCTCTTGTCCTAGAGGTTACTGTTGCTTTTTTTGTTTGTTTTGTTTTGTTTCTTTTTTATTAGTTATCTATTTTATACATATTAGTGTATATATGTCAATCCCAATCTCCCAATTCATCACACCACCCCACCCCTGCTTTCTCCCCTTGGTGTCCATACGTTTGTTCTCTACATCTGTGTCTCTATTTCTGCCTTGCAAACCAGTTCATCTGTACCATTTTTCAAGGTTCCACATATATGTGTTAATATACGATATTTGTTTTTCTCTTTCTGACTTACTTCCCTCTGTATGACAGTCTCTTGGTCCATCCACGTCTCTACAGATGACCAAATTTCGTTTCTCTTTATGGCTGAGTAACATTCCATTGTATATATGTACCACATCTTCTTTATCTATTCATCTGACGATGGGCATTTAGGTTACTTCCATGATCCTGGCTATTGTAAATAGCACGGCAATGAACATTGGGGTGCATGTGTCTTTTTGAATTATGGTTTTCTCTGGGTATATGCCCAGTAGTGGGATTGCTGGGTCATATATTAATTCTATATTTAGTTTTTTAAGGAACCTCCATACTCTTCTCCGTAGTGGCTGTATCAATTTACATTCCCACCAACTGTGCAAGAGGGTTCCCTTTTCTCCACACCCTCTCCAGCATTTGTTGTTTGTAGATTTTCTGATGATGCCCATTCTAACTGGTGTGAGGTGATACCTCATTGTAGTTTTGATTTGCATTTCTCTAATAATTAGTGATGCTGAGCAGCTTTTCGTGTGCTTCTTGGCCATCTGTATGTCTTCTTTGGAGAAATGTCTGTTTAGGTCTTCTGCCCCTTTTTGATTGGGTTGTTTGCTTTTTTAATATTGAGCTGCATGAGCTGTTTATATATTTTGGAGATTAATCCTTTGTCCGCTGATTTGTTTGCAAATGTTTTCTCCCATTCTGAGGTTTGTCTTTTTGTCTTGTTTGTAGTTTCCTTTGCTATACAAAAGCTTTTAAGTTTCATTAGGACCCATTTGTTTATTTTTGTTTTTATTTCCATTACTCTAGGATGTGGGTCAAAAAAGATCTTGCTGTGATGTATGTCAAAGAGTGTTCTTCCTGTGTTTTCCTCTGAGAGCTTTATTGTGTCCGGCCTTATATTTAGGTCTTTAATCCATTTTGAGTTTATTTTTGTGTATGGTGTTAGAGAGTGTTCTAATTTCATTCTTTTACATGTAGCTGCCCAGTTTACCCAGCACCACTTATTGAAGAGACTGTTTTTTCTCCACTGTGTATATACCCTTGCCTCCTTTGTCATAGATTAGTTGACCATAGGTGCGTGGGTTTATCTCTGGGTTTTCTATCCTGTTCCATTGATCTATATTTCTGTTTTTGTGCCAGTACCATACTGTCTTGATTACTGTAGTTTTGTAGTAGAGTCTGAAGTCAAGGAGTCTCATTCTTCCAGCTCCATTTTCTTCCCTCAAGATTGCTTTGGCTATTCGGGGTCTTTTGTGTCTCCATACAAATTTTAAGATTTTTTTGTTCTAGTTCTGTAAAAAATGGCAGTGGTAATTTGATAGGGATTGCATTGAATCTGTAGATTGCTTTAGGTAGTATAGTCATTTTCACAACATCGATTCTTCCAATCCAAGAACATGGTATATCTCTGCATCTGTTTGTGTCATCTTTTTTTTTTTTGTGGTACGCGGGCCACTCACTGTTGTGGCCTCTCCCGTTGCGGAGCACAGGCTCCGGACGCACAGGCTCAGCGGCCATGGCTCACAGGCCCAGCCGCTTCGCGACACGTGGGATCCTCCCGGACTGGGGCACGAACCCGTGTCCCCTGCATCGGCAGGCAGACCCTCAACCACTGCATCACCAGGGAAGCCCTGTTTATGTCATCTTTGATTTCTTTCATCAGTGTCTTATAGTTTTCTGAGTACAGGTCTTTGACCTCCTTAGGTAGGTTTATTCCTAGGTATTTTATTCTTTTTGTTGCAGTGGTGAATGGGGTTGTTTCCTTGATTTCTCTTTCTGATCTTTCATTTTTAGTGTATAGGAATGCCAGAGATTTCTGTGCATTAATTTTGTATCCTGCAACTTTACCAAATTCATTGATTAGCTCTAGTAGTTTTCTGGTGGCATCTTTAGGATTATCTATGTATAGTATCATGTCATCTGCAAACAGTGACAGTTTTACTTCTTCTTTTCCAATTTTGTATTCCCTTTATTTCTTTTTCTTCTCTGATTGCCATGGCTAGGACTTCCAAAACTGTTGAATAAGAGTGATGAGAGTGGACATCCTTGTCTTCTTCCTGATCTTAAAGGAAATGCTTTGTTTTTCACCATTGAGAATGATATTTGCTGTGGGTTTGTCATATGGCCTTTATTATGTTGAGGTAGGTTCCCTCTATGCCCACTTTCTGGAGAGTTTTTACCATAAAAGGGTGTTGCATTTTGTCAAAAGTTTTTCTGCATCTATTGAGATGATCATATGCTTTTTATTCTTTAATTTGTTAATATGGTGTATCACATTGATTGATTTGAAGAATCCTTGCATCCCTGGGATAAATCCCACCTGATTATGGTGTATGATCCTTTTGATGTGTTGTTGAATTCTGTTTGCTAGTACTTTGTTGAGGATTTGTGTGTCTATATTCTGCAATGATATTGGTCAGTAATTTTCTTTTTTTGTGATATGTTTGTCTGGTTTGGTATCAGGGTGATGGTAGCTCCATAGAACAAGTTTGGGAATGTTCCTTCCTCTGCAATTTTTTGGAAGAGCTTGAGAAAGATGGGTTTTAGCTCTTGTCTAAATGTTTGATAGAATTCACCTGTGAAGCCATCTGGTCCTGGACTTTTTTTGTTGGAAGATTTTGAATCACAGTTTCAATTTCATTACTTGTGATTGGTCTGTTCATATTTTCTATTTCTTCCTTGTTCAGTCTTGTAAGATTATACCTTTATAAGAATTTGTCCATTTCTTCCAGGTTGTCCATTTTATTGGCATAGAGTTGCTTGTAGTAGTCTCTTAGAATGCTTTGTATTTCTGCAGTGTCTGTTGTAAATTCTCCTTTTTCATTTCTAATTTTATTGATTTGAGTCCTTTCCCTCTTTTCCTTGGTGAGTCTGGCTAAAGGTTTATCAATTTTGTTTATCTTCTCAAAGAACCAA